TAGGGGGGGATTTTATAGGGATTTTAAAGGGATTTTATAATATTAAACTTAATACAGGTTATTTAATATATATTTTAATTTGGCTTTTAGAGATATCTATTGTATTGTACTGTTTTTATTTACCTGTAAGCCGCCCTGAGTCCCTCGGGAGAAGGGCGGGGTATAAATGGGATTAAATAAATAAATAAATAAATAAATTCTCAATGTCTTTGTCCAGGCCTGGCCACCACAAGTAACTCCTGGCTAGAGTCTTCATTCGAACAATTCCTGAGTGCTCCTCATGTAAGGAATCTAGCACCCTGGAGTGAAGCCTGGGTGGAATGATGACCCTGCTACCCCACAGCACACATCCCTTGTGGACTGACAGTTCATTTTTCCAAGAAGCATGGTGATGGAACTCAGGGCCTGGCCGGGTCTCTGGCCATTCCCTTACACCCAGTTGAGAATGCATCTAAGCGTTCTGTCCATGGTGGTTTCAGCTGCAATGTCCTCTGAATGTAGGGGTGCTTCAGGCAGGTCCTGGATTGCCAGGATACAACAAGCTGGGGCTGAGTCTGGACCAGTCTGTGGTAGAGGCAGTCGGCTGAGAGAATCGGCGTGGCCCATTTCCTTACCTGGCTTGTGGACTAGCCTGTATGAGTATGCAGCCATGAAAATGGACCATTCACGGCGACAGAATCTGTGATGTCTGTTTGTCTGCTGTGAAGAGACCAAGCAGAGGTTTGTGATCTGTAAAGATGGTGAGGGTTCATCCATATAAGAAGTCATGGAACTTCTTAATGCCAGCCACTATGCGTGGGCTTCCTTGTCTATCTGGGCATAGTTTCTTTCAGCCGATGATAACGTTCTACAATAGTATGCGATGGGGGCCTCTCTACCATCTGGCATCCTGTGGCTTAGTACTGCCCCAAAGCCATATGGCGAAGCGTCACAGGCTAGTGTTACTGGTAGGTTTTCGTTGAAATGAGCTAGGACGGAGTCCGATAATAACAATGATTTTACCACCTTGAATGCTTTGTCTTGGGTGCGCGACCAGACCCAGGGCATTTTTTGTCCAGTAGGTGGTGTAGCGGTTCTGCCAGGGCAGCCTTATGCGGTAAGAAGGAGTGGTAAAAATTGAGGAAGCCCAGGAATGCTTGTAGCTCCCCCTTGGATTTTGGTGTGGGGGCTTGCTGAATTGCCTATAGCTTTGCTTCAGATGGGTGGATTCTGGCAGCATCGATGCAGAAACCTAAGAATTCTGTGGATTCCACACTGATCTGGCACTTTTCCTTCTTGGGGTTTAGGCCTGTCTCGTGGAAACATTGGAGTACTGCACAGAGACATTCCGCCAGGACTGCCGCTGATTCCCCCATGATCAGGACATCATCAAAATACAGGCAGATGCCAGGAATGTTCTTCAGTGTTCGTTCCATAATACTTTGGAACAACCCTGGTGCTACGCTTACCCCAAACTGCAAGCAGCACACTTGGAATGTGCCTCTGTGTGTGACGATTGTTTGTGCTTCTGCGGTAGCATTATCTACCGGTAGCTGCTGGTAAGCCTGGGCGAGGTCTAATTTAGCGAAGATTCAGCTCCCTGGAGTGAAGCGAGGATGTGGCTCACTACTGGTACAGGGTAAGCATGTTGCTGTAGTGCCTTGTTTATGGTGCACTTGTAGTCTGCGCAGATGCGGACGTCCCCATTAGGCTTAACTGGGGTCACTATTGGAGTCTCCCACTGGCTACAGTCCACCGGTTGGAGCACTCCCTGCTATACCAGCTTGTCTAGTTCTGCATCAATTTTTGTCTTCAATGCAAAAGGAACCCTGTGTGTTTGTAATTGGATTGGAGTTACTGCTAGATCGAGGTTGAGTGAAATGGGTGCCCCTTAGTATTGTCCCAACTCTGTGCTGAATACATCAGCATATTGTTGGCATACTGCTGGTAGATCAGCTATTTGTGTTCGATGGATGCCTGTCACGCTGATGCCCAGGGCCTCAAACCAGTCCAGTCCTATGAGGTTGGTATGACCACTACACTGAGGGGACCCTCGAACTCTCTGAATTGTACTCTAATGGTAGCTTCCCCCCTTATGGGAACATGGTAATTCTGGAAGTCCGTTAGCACTAAACTTGATGATTTCAGTGGGACCCGCCATCGGCTATGTTTGCAAATGTGGTTGAAAGTCCTGGAGGAGATAATGGACAGGATTGATCCAGTATCTAGCTCCATGGAGCAGTCTTAGTTGGAGTCTTATCTTTTCTTTGATGGAACGTTGGGCCAATGTGTTGGATGCTGTGCCTTCCTGAGCAGTATTCAATTCTGTTCTGTCCTGGGGGCCATTTCCCCTTGTGCTGCTGTGTCGCAGGTTTCATTTCCCACTGACGACCTCTGCAAACTCTGGCAAGCTGCCCTTGCTTTCCACAGGCACAGCATACTGCTATGCGGAATCTGCACTCTGCTCTTTCATGCTGTCCCTCGCAGCTTGCGCAATTCTGTGGGGAAGTTGCTTGCTCTGTGGAGAGTCGCCGTCTGGGTGGCTTTCTCCATAAACAATCGATTTCTTCACTCTCACTGGCCTCCCCTGAGCCTTCTGTGGTCTCTTGTTGGATCACTGTGGGGCTGGTGTGTGTTTTAGGTGGCCAGAGAGTCTTCATTGCCCCTCCGGCAGCCTCCTCTGCCATGACTTCCATCAATGCATCTTGGAAAGTCAGTTTCTCCATGGTGAATAGGCGCTGCTGTAATTCTCTATTATGCAGGCCACAAACAAGCCTGTCTCTGAGACGGTCTTCCAGGTCAGGGAACTCGCATTGGTGCGAAGCTTGGCGAAGGGCTGCCACAAACTCTGCTGCAGATTCCCCGGATCTCTGCTCACATTGCTCGAATGCATGGCGCCAGGCGATTACTGAGAGTTTTGGCTCAAAATGTTCCCTTAATTTTTTCTTGAGGTCTGCGTAGGCCACAGTCTCTATACTTGCCAGTGCTATCAGGTTTTCAGCGATATGAAACATGCTTCTCCGCAGACACATAGTAAGGTTGCTGTCTTCAGGCCATCGTCTGTGATCTGGTTAGCCCAGAGATAGTTGTCTACTCGGGAGATGTATGAGCTTCACTATTCCAGATGAGTAATATCGAACTCGTTGAGCCTTCCCAATTTAGCCATTTTGGGGAGGCCCCTGTGGTGTTGGTTAATGCATGTACTGCTGTGGTTGGAGCTGTGCTGCACTTTGGAATCCTGGGGACAGATCCCTCAGGTATATCTGTGCTTCCAGTGTGTCTTACTGGGAGGCAGGGCAGGGAGCGTGGTCCCATCAGGGCTCTTTACCTGGTCTGACACCCAGTGATTTCAGCATGCCTCCATTGTGGCTTACTGGTAGGCAGGGGGTGAAAACGAGGCCTGCTGGGGCTCTTTACCCAGCCTATCACCCAGTGATTTCAGTCTCTTGGTTAGCAGCAGCTCTCTCCTCTGCAGCATCCCTCCTTCATCACCACTATTGTGTAGTGGGCTTCAATAGGCAAGGAGAAGACCAGCATAGTTACAACATTATTTATTGACTCAAACTAGAACTGGAGAACTGCAGGCAATTGCCTGTAATTTATACTCTGAGCTCACAGGGCCTTAACCAATCACAATACTTGAAAAACCCACCCAAATATGAATGTTCAAAGTTTCCCTCCAAAACAGTTGGAGTTAACAGTCAGGGTCATCTAAAGGTTAGTTTCATTTTAGATTCACAAGCAGTTGGAGTTAAGTTAGTTTCACTTTAGTAGGAATTAACACAACTTTATATAT